TTTAGATTTTTGGGGGTATTTTTAAGTATGTGACGAGTGTTTTGAATTCCATAAGAAAAATTTAAGAAACTTGGTACCCATTAGGAGGCGTAGTAGACAGCTCAACGTCCCGAAATATCGATCCAAGTAAGGATCACTCACCTTATTCTCTATTATGATAAATTGAGGCTTAATGATGCATAAATTTGTGTTTTGTAAAAAATTAGAAAACTATAAAAAAAATTACAAGTTACTAGTGGAGTCGGACTCGATTAGTTCATAATTGTCTTGATTTTCTCTTTATTTTCCTGTACTGTCCTACTTACTTGATTTTCGTATAGTACATATTCTTAAATTATAGTTTAATAGTTTTATCAACTTATCTGATTATTTTAGTTATATACTGTCAGCATGAATGTAGTTTAATTGATTTGTGAATATGATATAAAATATTGGTATGAGTTTGTTGGTTGTTTGTTGATAAAAATCTGTATGTGAAAAACTTGCTGGTTACCTAGGGAAAGGGTAGACGGGTCTGGTGCATAGGAAGTCCTACCGTGAATATTACCACAATTAGACGGAGCTGGAAAGTTCTTTATCAGAAATATTTGAGAGATATAGTTCACCCTTATACCGGACGGAGTATCGAGGCGATATAATATTTGACACCTATTACCGGACAAGTTATGAGGACGACTGGTCAATTGTAAAATTGGATATTGGATTCAAGGGACATCCCAATGGACTCCCAAGGGTACCAGTAAACAGATAAAAAAGGAAAACTATTGTTTCTCGTTTTTTTATGCGTGAAAATGAAAAGTGATATGGATATGGGTTTTCATAAATTATCTTTGAAAAACTCGCTATGGTCAGTATTAAAAAAATGTCTTTAAGTTTAAACGTATTTAAATAAAGCAAGAGCTTCATTAGTTTTTTTTTATTTATTTTTTTATCAAATTTTAGTTTTTCATATCTATGATTAGTGTAATATTCTTACTAAACTAGTGTAACTCACCCTTTCATTAACTATTTCAGATCAAGAGGACCAAGATCCAAATTCCGATGCAATACCCGAAATTAATTTGTAAAATCCAAAATTTATGTATATAATTTAATTTTTAATTTTATAAATTATTATTTAATGTAAAATTAAGAAAAAAATAGGTGAATAATGAAATTAAAAATAATTTTGGGAGAAAGGAATGAAAATTTGGGTTTTGTAGGTGGTTTTGAAAGAAAAATCAGAAACTGTAAGTCAAAACGCAATTTAAAAAAAATGTGTCACATTTTGAAAGAAAAATCAGAAACTGTAGGTCAAAATACAATTTAAAAAAAAATGTATCACGTATGACACCCAGTCAGCAGCCCTGACGAACCGGAGCGCACCGCATGGCAAGACACACTAACGCGATGCCACGCAGGAGGCTGCACTGGCGATCTGGGTGCCGCGATAGGATGGTTCAGATTTGTTCTCCTAGGCATGAACGGTCCGGATCCGTTCCCTTCTCAGATGTGATCGGACGGTCGCGATTAAATGCGATGAACGACCCAGATCCACTTACTATTTAAACGCGATCGGATGGTCCATATCAAATCACGATGAATGATCTAAATTCACTTCCTATTTAAATGCAATCGGACGGTCTGGATCAAACGCGATGAACGATCTAGATTAAATGGAAACGGATATAAATACTCATCTTCATACCAAACTCTAACCCTAACTGTCATACCCCCCGCTAGAGAAAAAGAGCCATTCACCGGAAAGGAAGCCGACCGTCACCTGCCACCACGTCGGAGCTACTTCTGACCGTCAAAAGAGGTAAAAAATTTCTCATTCGCTCGAAATTCAATTTTGAACAATTCCATGGCCAAATCAGAGCAAAAGGAGCAGTGAATGAACTGAATATCGCGAGGAAAGTCTGGTAGCGCTGCCGCAAAAAAAAGAAAAAACTGCCTCCGATGAGGCCCTTCCCGATTCCCGTTTCGTGTAATTTTTTCACCATTATAATTACCATTCCTTTTTCTACCGATTGATCGAAGCAAAATACCCAACTATGAAGGTAAGTCGGCGGAGCCGCCACACCGAAAAATTCTGCCGCCGGTAAATTTCAATTTTTTAACTTTTTTCGGTCAAGCGAGACCCCTTAACGTGTTTTCTCGCAGGGATGGGTACAAAACCGGCCGAAAACGATCAACCTAATGTAAATTGCCGCTGTGGGCGGTAGTGCCGTCATCGGAGTACAGCGAAGCCACCGTGTTGGAAATCTAGAATTAGCCAAAAGGGGTTTCTAACATTGATTTTGGGTTTTTTCAGATATTTATAGGTACTTGAAGCGTGTTTTAGTCCTAAAAAAAATTCAGAGAATCCGGGGACTGCCAGTAGGCGCAGCTGAAAGTCTAATATTTCAGACATCAATTTGAGTAAGAATCCCTCACCTTATTCTCCGTTATAAAATTGAAACTTATTTATAAATAATATGGTATTTTGTGTAATTTAGAAATGTCAATAATTAAATGTTACTAATGGAGACGGAACCGGTTATTTATTATTTTACCATGTTTCACTGATTTATTAATTTTATAATTTCGAATGTATGATAATACACTATAATTGATATGATAATTCGATTGTGTTTCCTTGATACATGAATTGCTTGTTTTACGTTATTTATAGTAATTGAAAAACTAAAAATTAAAGGTAAACGAGAAATTGTTTGATTAAGTGAATGCATGAATGGTAGCCTTACTGGATATCTTGGGAGATGGTGGACGGACCAGGTACATAGGGAACTCGAACGTTGCCTCATACCAGATGGGGTATCAAGAATTTGTATTTTGGCGCTTATATTGAACGGGATATTAGGACGACCAATTTTACGCTCATATCAGACGGAGTAATGAGGGATGATATCTTTTGGCGCTCATACTAGACATGGTATGAGGATGGTCCGTTAGTTGAAAAGGTTGAATAAAGGTTCACGCGTTGTAGGGACATCCCTATGGACCCCTATGAATACTAGTAGACTAATAATGAATAAAGTTATTCCAACTGATTGAATATGAGATTATAGTATTATTTATGTTATTACTTCTATAGGTCGGTTTTGCAAATCTCGTTACGGTAAATATGCGGTAAATAATTTTGTTTTTGAAAAACGAATTTACTTAAATTGAGAGCTCTATTAGTTATTTTTATGATTTCTACCAACTTTCATTTATGTGTCGGTGAGTAGCGTGATATTCTTGTTGTGCTGGTGTAGCTCACTCTTTCATTAACCATTTTAGATCAAGATGACCAAGATCCAGAGCCCGATTCACAAGAGAATTATGAGTAGAACATTCAGTTTATTTGCTTTTCATTTATTTCTTTAATTATTAGTTGTTCTTTTATAAATGTCATTCCCGTATCCTTATTGGGTATCTGCGAATTATTGTGTAAGAAATGTAAACTCTAATTTATTATTTCGCTTCCGCATTCAATTTATAATTTATTTTTCTCAAGTTCACAGGTCGTTTCACCTGATCAGTAAAGAGAGTTGTGAGTAGTTCACTATTCGGACCCTCTTTAAGTGCTAATGAAGGTTGTTTTATAATGATTAGTTATTCGCTTTTCGTTTTATTTTTTTAATTTTTGTTTGTCTTTTAGATGAGACATTTTCATAATTCTATTGGGCATTCAAAATTATTATGTAAGGAATGTAAACTCTAAATTTATCAATTGCTTCTACGTTTAATTTATGAATTAATTTTCCTTTAAATTACAAAGGTAACCTTTTTAAGTAATTCCCGCGAGGGTATGGCCAGTCAAATTTGAATTGATAATTATAAATAGTTTAGTTTTGTCAATTTTTATAATTATAGTTAGTTTAATTTTTAAAATTTTTAGAGTAATATGATAGAACACTCACTCATATTCTTTTTATAAACAAAATTGGATATCATGAATCTTTAAGCATATTAATAAGCATGCAGGAACATAAATCATGCAATATATATATATATATATAATTAAATTAATAAACTTTTGTGTATAATATAAATGATATAGCTGGTAGGTGTTGATTATTTCAAAAGTTAGTTTAACAATAGAAGTACTAACTTAATTTTATGCAATATTTTAATCTATTCACCTTTTATATATATACACACACACACACACACGTGTGTGTGTGTGTGTGTACATATATATATATATATATACATGCTAGTGATCATAGATTTTAAGTTAGGCATGGTAGGATCATGAAAGCATTTGGATGGTTTGGGTAGTAAAGGTGCATAGATTTATCAATTTACTAATATACAAATATCAACTATAGTAATTTATAAGTAATTTCTAAATATATAAATATCAATTATAATAATATATAAATAATTTCTAGAGAATAAAATATACAAGAATACAATTCAATTTAAATTATATTTTTTTATAAGAAAAAATAATATTTATAATTAAAATAAGTGGTGTTTATAATTATATAAACCTTAAAATATTTATTAACAATAAAAAAATTGGGAAAATATTATATTATTGTTTATACATATGTTTTATTTAATTAATAAAATATATAATTTTTTAAAAAATTAAAAAATAAATTAAATTAGAAAAAATATATAATTGGATATATATATATATATATATATATATCAAGTTAGTGTGAGACAAGCAAGACAAGGATTGATTGGTCGATCCTGACGGCCAGGTCAATGGGTTCACCACATACATGATATGATGCCCAAGTTGTATGTAAAATAATAAAAACATGATGTACATACATGAACATGAACCCTGTTTCTAATTCCGCACGTGTTTATTTCAACCATGTGACGTCGTTTCACAACATCCCATAGGCCAAGTGTGTGAGTGAGTGTCGTCAAGGAGATTTCCTAGAAATTGTAGGCGGAATTTGCCTTTTTGAATATCTCTACTCTACTATGGACTTTTCTCACATCATCATCATCATCATCATCCCACATATATATATATATATATATATAAACACATATATAGTAGAAGCAAACATTGTTAACTGAGAGCTCATCGCTTCTCATCTGATCGGTTTTCAAAAGCTAAAGCTTACTACTCCTCCCATATACAACCTTCATCTTTGATCTCTACGGATTCTCCAGCTTATACCTTACAGCTTATAGCTTATATATATATATATATATATTTAAGTATGGGGAGAGCTCCATGCTGTGAGAAGATGGGGTTGAAGAAAGGTCCATGGACTCCAGAAGAAGATCAAATCTTGATTAATTACATTCGGCTTTACGGTCACAGCAACTGGAGAGCGCTTCCCAAACAAGCAGGTAATTATGATTAATTAAGTTGTTTTTATCAGTGATTTAATTATAAATCTGTTGTCTGTGAATAATCATATATCTATATATATATGTACGTGCAGGTTTGTTGAGGTGTGGGAAGAGTTGCAGGCTGCGATGGACGAATTACTTGAGACCAGATATTAAACGAGGGAATTTCACCAGAGAAGAAGAAGATACAATCATTGAGCTTCATCAAAGGCTTGGAAATAGGTGGGTTCTTATTAATTTTTTTAGAAAATCATTTTTAATTAAATTTAGGAGAGAAAACCCATATCAAATAGAAAATACATATATATATATTTAATTTTGGAGATTGAGAAATCTTGATTTCTGATATCTCTTATCCTTTTCTTTTGTCTCTTTTTTTTTTCCTCCACAATTGAATAATATATATATATATATGTATATAAAATATTAGGGAAACAATGTGGGTCGGCTGAGAAGATTCCTGCTCTGTGACCCTTTATATAATAAACAAAAATATATGTGTTTCAGTTTCATATATATATATATATATATATATATATATATTTCTTTTTTCAAAAGCTAACAAAGCTTGGCACCTTGGTTAGTGCAAATTTTTTTTTTTTAAAAGAAAAAACAGGATTATCACACTGGTCTATAATGTTCAAATCTTTAGAATAAGAATTATTTTTAAAAAAATAATAATAATTTAATTCTATATAGAAAATAATTCAATAAATTATACATATATACTCAAACATATTCCCGACACATAAGTCCAATAGGTTAAAAGCATGCATGAAATATAAATTTATTAAATATTTTATGAAATTATTTTTATTAGAAATAAGATAGTGACTACCAATCCTTGAATTCCAATACTAGTCAATTATTCAAAAATTTAAAATTATATAAAAATTATATAATTAATTATATGTATTCTAACACATTTACTTTCAATGTTAGATGGTCAGCAATTGCAGCAAGATTACCAGGACGCACAGACAACGAAATAAAAAATGTATGGCACACCCACTTGAAGAAGAGGCTGAATCAAACCCATTCCAACTACCATTCTCACAAGCCATCATCATCGTTATCAACTTTCAATAAGCAAGACAAAATTGGCACCAAGAGAAAAGATGAAGATGATCGTCGACAGCAATCTACGATTAGCGTCGTGATACCAGATTATGTTTATTCGCCTCAACAATCTAACAGCGACGACATATCAACACTGACCACCACTACAACAAACACATCAACGAGCGATGATGACAACACTAAGTTGGATGATAGCTTCTGGTCAGAAGTGCTTTCTGCAGACCATTCAACCATGGCGATTGATCATGGTTTAAACGATCAACTCCATTTATCATCCTCTCCATCGCCTGCAGTTTATTTTGATAATTCAATGACACCTTTATATGATAACATGGATTTTTGGTTCAACCTTTTAACTAGACCTGGAGAACTAACAGACTTGTTAGAGATTTAATAAAGTTGATTTTTTTTTTTCCTTGAGTTTTCAAGTTCATAATCGATGTGAATTGCTGCTAGCTCTCCAATTTTAAATCATTAATATATGGAAGTTGGCTTGAGCTTGTGTTAATTTTGAGTTCATTATAAGTCCACCTTTAACTCACCTGAATAAGTTTTATTAACTTATCTTATATATATATTACCAAAGAAAAAGTTTTATACGATGTTTATATATCTCTTCACATAGTTATTATATATTTTTAAGGCATTTAAATGTATAAATAATAGATTGAATTATCTATTTGCTAAAATTTTTTGAGATGGGTCATTCAATTTCTTAAATATAATAGTTTGTTTAATTCTATTACGATGATTTTTCAAAGACAATTTGAACATATTTAAAGTATAATCATTAACTTATTGTATTTAGTTAACGAAAGGTAACAAATTTTAAGTGTAAAAATAAGTACTTGTCATATTATTTACGTAATGAGAGTTATTATTTAGCTCAAATAGCTATCCTAACAATAATTATTTTTCAAATATTTTAAACTAGAGGTAGAGATTTTTCACCTTGTAAAATTATAGACTTAATTGAGGCAAGATAGTTTTGCTTTGCACTTCTATAATTTGTGCTAGAAATTCTTGAGAATTCATGGCAATATGATCCGTAAGCATCAATGCTATTCGAATTACATTCAGAAAACTCATTTCTATTGTTACCCTATTCATATCTTTATCAATGTCAAACCAAATTGTGATGCTTTTGGTTTGATTTTAACAGACATAAAACTTTTCATGAGATCATCAATTCATTTTCAGTGATCGTCATGAACGATTCCTTTAGCACCTTTAGTTTCTTATGACAGTGTTATCCATATTCACCTTGACCTAAGAATTCTTTAGTAAATACCAAACAACACAATCTAAACTCATCCTTGTGCTTTGACGATAAACAATCCCTATATAAAATAAATAAATACTCTAAAAAAATTTAGTATTCCAATGTAATTTTCTTATGCGAAATGCATATAGAGACTACTGTAATTTGTATTAGACTGTTTAGGAGGTTCTGGTTATTAGTAGAAGACCAATATATTGATAGAAAGAACGTAATATCTTTCTACTTGCAGTTAGTTTTCATACTCATTATGAGGTTACTAATAGATGCTCTGATAAAGAATTAAGATCACATAATCCCTATGAATTTTAACTTATCCAATAATAATTTATAAAATCTTAGGTCTGTCTAGCTTATGAGTTATTATCATATTCTCTATGATTTTAAATCCAAACATAGTCACCAAAATATTTGAGCAATAGTAAAAATTAGAGATTTTACTATATGTTCTATCTAGTGTCCACTTCCTCTTTGGAATAAGATAATCTTCACTTATTATGAGACAGTACTTGTATTTTTGTTAATTTTAAAGCGAATACGTATTATATATATAAATTTATTTGTATGAGAATAAAAAGTCAGATTAATTTTAGTCTATTATTATTATTCCAACTAAAAGAGCCTAATTATCACATAATGTCACATACACATTAGTTTGAGGGATGAATCTGCTTACAAATGTCCATTTTGTTCATATTTTAATGCTCATATAATCATTAAAGACTATTAAAGTGATTAATTTCAAGAGTTTCTTTTTAATTTTTTTTTCTAAGATCACAACAAGCTTGGTGTTGAAAAAAGATCTTTTGTAGAAAGGTTGGCTAGAGATTTCTTATAAAGATCATTATGTATATCAATGATCGTATGTCATCTCGATAAGAAGGAAATTATACGAAAATATTACATAACTATTATAACATTATACGATTAGAAATTAATCCTTACGAATGAAGTTATATACTCTATAACATAAGTCTCATCCACACAGGTAACATATAATATAAAAAAAATAATTTGATTATCGCATTAAGAGTTAAGTTATAAGTTAGTTGAATCAAACATTAAGAGTCAATTACGGCCGACCCATCACATTCCAACAGGGTGGCAAGCTTTACATATTTAATAATATTTGAATGGTTTGTGATGGTAACGAAAACTATAAAACGTTGAACTGTTAATATTAAGGATGACATATTGCATCTTATTATTATTTTTTTTTTGGACTGCCTATAAATATAACTTAGGACAATATCTAAATCCCAACTAGATTATGTGAGTTTATACAAAGATAATTAATTATTAATTATTCCACAAAATCTTGAAGTGGGAAGATACAAAAACATTGAAAGTGATTTATTTTATACAATTTTTTTAATGAACACATATTTGGATGTATTAAGATTCAAAGAATGGGTGCTGAAGCTTTTTTACAGGTGACGATGTACAAATCTGTTGAGTGCATGCCTCTCATCATCAAGCATATAAATATATATATATATATGTATGTATAGTTTAATTTATGCCAAACCAATTAATTTGGTTTGTTAGGATGAGAGGATAACTATGTTGGATTATGATATAATTAATTTAATTTTGGTTGATTACTGCGAATCAGAAATGAAATCTAATAAGTGCTGAGTAAAGACTTGTTTCAAGTGGAGCCCTATATAATATATATATATATATTTGAGAATAATATACAAATGGATCCATATATATTATAATATAAGATATATAATATTAAATTTATGTCTTGTTTGTATATTGTTGTTATCATATTGCCGAGCAGCCGCCGTTATATACTTTAATTTTCTTTAATATTTGTCGTTCAATAATTAATGTTATAAGATGTTGCTTTTATTTTATTTTTAAAATGAAAATATATAATTTAATTTTTTAAATTACGATTTGAATTTGTAATTTTTTTAAAAATTTTTTTGAACTGAATTTTTTAAAAAAATTAGAATAAAATAAATTTAACTGGTTTTATTTTAACTTTTTATATTAAATAAATTGTATAAATTAAATAAGTAAGAAAATAAAAAAAATTAAAAAAAAGAAGACTTTTTTTCATCATAGAAAATTGAATAGACTTGAAAACCCTTTAGTTAGTTAGGCCCAAAAATTACTTTTCTAAAACTCCCAAAGCCCAGCCCAAGCATTCTTCAGGCTTGAAAACGGTGTCGTTTAAAAGGAGATTAATTTAGTCCTTTGGCTCCGTTGTTCGACAGTCGGAATCGGAAGGGAGAAGAGCAGCTTTTGCGCGCTATGGCGGTTGAGGCTATCTGAACAAAGAGGAAAGGGCAAGCAGAGTTGGCGGAAATTGGGGTTCGAGGCAAGCAGTGTAAGCGGCTAAGAATCCGTTAGCAATCAAACAAAGTTGAAAAGCTGGAGGAGTTGGGAGGTTGAAGAACTCGGAAAGTAAAAGAAGGGATGTAGCCGGAGGTGAAAAAGGAAGGAGGCTGAGCGCGGAATCCCCGATGCGTAAAAGCCATTTCTGGTGAGAGAGAAAGGAAAGACCAAAGCAGACGGGGTGAAGCAAAGAAGGGTTTTCACGGCTTGAGAAAATAGAGCAGCGAAGGAAGAGGAGCATAGGCATACGTCTTAATGTCGGGAAAGAGGGAAAGAGCACGGCTCGAGAGTGGATTGCTACTAAAAAACATAAAGAAATCAGGGGTTTCGGAGGAGCGAGATTGAGAGCTTGAGAAAGAATAGGAAAAACAGAGGGAAAGGAATTAGGGGAGAAGATGGAATTAGGGGTTTTAGGGCTTCAGGGTGTTCTATGGAGTGGAATGAAGAGAGGAGCTTATGTGAGAAATCGAGGAGAAGAGAAATTGGAAGGGAGGAGAGGGAGAAAGCAGTGAGGAAAGAGGAGCGAGAGGTTGATTGAGAACAGTGGAGGTCTCGTTGTTTCCAGGAAAAAAGAGGTAATTCTGTCTCTTTTCTCTTTTAGTTCATGTTGAATCAGAATACAATTTGAGATATTAGAGCATTGATGAATGAAATGAATGTTTCCGTGGCAAATGATCCTTAACTAGGCATGCAACATTGTCGTTCCTGGCTTTCTGTGTTTTCCGATATGTAGGTAGATTTGATGAGGAATGAAGTCAGCATATTGATAATTTGAATACTTATTTTGGTATCTAGCTGCCAGGATGGGAACTGATGGTTAATCTCTTTTAATTTGTCAATTATGTTTAATGTCAAAATCCAGGATTAAGGTTTACCTGTCTCTTTGATCCTGTTGTGAAGAGACCTGTCATAAGTCATTTTTCTTTGATATGGAGAATCTTTGGAGTTTCATTTTTAAGTAACTAAAAAGAATCTTTCAAGTTCATAGATTGTATGAAATATTATGAAAATGCTTGAGGTGGTCTACACAATCTAGGAAGCCTAATATTCTTGGTTTGGTGATTTCTTCTGTGGTGTTCACTCCTGTTTGAATTTTGCTAGAAGTGCAAAAGTGATTGTATTATGAATGTGCTGTAAAATGAAGTCTTTGGGGTATATACTGGAAATATCAAAGTCTAAAGAAAGCAATGATCGAACCATGAAAGAGGGGCCTGGGTTTTGTAATTATGTCGCCTTTATCCTTGTTGGACAATGGATAGTTCTTGAATGTTAGTAGAGTGCATGCAATTATGGCTAAAAGTTTCCTTTTTGAAGAATTATTGATGTGAGCAAAGAAAGGGAAAACAATTTCTTCACAGAGAAATCAACCAAGGGGTGGATTTTCTTCTTAAACCGCATAGGAAATCAAGAGAAAGAGGAAAACAAATCTCATGCCTTAATGGAAGATTGAATCTCATGGATTTTGGGGAGATCATGAAAGCAATTAATCATTTCTCAAATTGGTCATAATCTTCCTTAATTCTTCCCTCAATCATCTCTATAATTACTTAAGATCTTCTTTATTTAGGGAGATCATATCTATTCTATTTTATAAAGCAATTATTTTTATTGTTACAATTTTTTATTTTATTTTAGATTTATTTTTCTATATAATTTTGCAATTAATTTATGAGATTATTTTCTTTATTATTCACACGACCTACACTATAAATAGGCCATCAATTCACAGTTGTATTGATTCAATTTTGATAGTAATAAAATTATCAAGTTTTAGTTTTCATTTAATAAGGTTTTCGTCAACTTTCTTGTTGAGTGTGAATTGATTCAACTTATCAAGATAAATTATTGTGGCGTCTTATCAATCATTCTTGAATTGATTTCACTTATCAAGGTTCCATCCTGTGGTATTTAATCAATTCAAGTTATCATCCCGGTTACTTTAGTTGACATTCACGTGTTGAATGCAGGTTAAGTAGGGAGAGTTTGTTGAGACTTTAAAGATTCTGAACACTAGAGTATATGTGTGGTTTTTAATCACGTTAGTTGATCATGGGTTCCGCATCAATTATGTTGTGATATGTTTTCAGATTGTTTGTTGTTGATGGTTTAATCGACTTGTAAATACATTGTAAGTGGGTTGTGCTCCCTTGACACTCTAACATCAATACAACTTCACGCTTTTATTTAAAAAAAATGTTTTCAGATTGTTAGGGCTTAGCTAACATAAAAATGTAGACTTGACTTAGATTAAGTTGGATTAGCATTTCAGATAAGCTGGACCTCAATACAAATCTCTTTAAAATGTTAATATTATGAGAACTTGTCAGTATAGAGTATTTAGTCTTAAGATTTGTATGTTGTTGCTTCTTGAGCCGCATTTGAAGAGATGGGTCTTTTAGGATGACTTACAATGAGAAGTGATAATCAGAGAACCACTTGGATTTTCCTTCCAAATCTTGATGTTTATTTAGCTATATTTAATTTTTGGTATACATTGTATTATGAAACCCTTCTTCCAAATCAATATTAACACAAATAGACTAGTAACCCCAATTAGTAGGAGGGTGCTTTCCTGTCAATCAACAATAACAAGAATAAATCACCATTAATAACAGATCCATTTGCTCGATAAGCTATTAAGGCTAGTTGAGCTTTCACATGTCGATGAAAACATACATGCAGATTGCCAACATGGCAACTATATGCCATTTTGTAAGTCTCACGTGCGAACCCATAGGTAATACCTATGTGCTTGGGTTTCAGGATCCAATTGCCTTATGGCCAGCCACTTCCCTTTCCTTGTAAAACAAGTTGGTTAGCACTCACACCAACATGGTGCATGTTATAGATGTAAAACAAGCCATGTCACATGCAAACACAAGATGGATCTAATACATTATGGACATGTACACGGACACTAATTTAACAAATGAGCATATTTACAATTTATAAATTTTAATTTAGTAGTAGTAATATTTACAATTTATAAATTGCTTGGGAAGCAAGTTGTGGATGTATACTGACCATCAATAAGTTAATGAGAAGTGGGAAGATCATGGTAAATTGGTGCTGCTTATGTAAGAGAGTGGAAGAGACCCATGACCGTATTTTACTCTGATGCCCCAAACATATAGTCTATAGACAATGGCTTATAGGATCCTAGAGTACGGTTGGGTTATGACTAGTATTATAAGGAACGAAATTTGACTTGGAAGAGTATTGCTGGGCAGGGAAAACAATTGAGGCTCATTCCACTTGCAATCTTTTGAATTATGTGGAAAGAAAGAAATAAGAGAATGTTCAATAGGGTGAAAGAGGATATTGATAATGTTAGAGTAAGATGGTTTCAGACCCCAAGAATTTTTTTTAAGGGTCAACCTTTGTACTCCATTGAGGATTTTGATGATTTGATTGATATATTGGTTGATATGTAAATACTTTTTATACATGGGTTAGCACCCCTTTGGTGCTTGTATTTAATGATAGTTTATACTTCTATTTAAAAAAATTCAATAGTAGTCAGTTAGGATAAAGTATTTAAAATATTGAAGAAGCATTTGCAATTTCTTTTAGCCACTTTAAATTTGGAGTTGAATTAAGTTTGTAAAATAAAATCTTTGGTCCACTTTTTGATCAAAATGAAACCTGAGCTGATTCTGGCTAGTTGCAATCACAATGTCACTTTGTAGATTCAATGAGGATAGAGGAGAGAAAACCAGTCCGTCAACTAATTCTTGTTTTCTTTGGAGATTATTCGGAAGTGTTAATACCATCCAATGTGAATTCAACATTGTCATGGTAAATTGAATTGATGTACCTTTGATGTCAGCTTGATGTCATATTTGGTCCTTGACCTTTCATGTCTTTTATGCTTTGGTCCCTCACATTTGGCATCTTAAATTTAAGACTTAAGTTCTCAATGGATCTTCACTTTGATCCTTGCATTAAAATTCCGTTAAAAATTAACAGTTGAACATGTGGCTGCCACTTGTCTGCCACATCATAAGAAATGATGATGTGGCACAATCTCAAACAAATAGCTAAATCTCACAGAACCCACCCATAACCCATCTTACGATTTAGCACCCTCTCCAAAAGTAAGCTATGAAACCAGTTATTGTGCCTCTCTCACCTTAGTTGTTGAAGCTTCACTCTAACCGATAACTCACTTTTTTACAAACTTCAAGCCTTCAGTTTTATCAATCAACTTTGAAAATGGTTTTATGCGCATGTTTTCTAGGTCTGTCATTGTGGTTCACTCTGCAAGCATATTTTAGTTTCCTCCATGCCTTTTTCAGTCTCCTCGATTGGTGTGTCTATCTTGAACTTAACTTCATTGTCCAGTCAATTCCATAAGGGATTGTAGTAAATATTAAGATCACACTAGAGTTCCATTGTTTCCATTCCTGCCTTTTCTTTGTCTATTTTTGTTTGGTGAGACAATGATTGTGTTCAGTTGTGTTTCCTTTGTCTTTCTTTCTTTCTTTTTTTTAAAAAAAATTAATTTCATGGAACTGAGTGTTCAAGTTGTTTAAACTCATATGCTTTTGCACCATTGGAACTTTAAGTTTGAGGTAAACAATTGTATTTGTGCAGCACATTTTTCTCAGTGTCTGTTGATGTTATTGTAGCTGTGATTATACATTTTTTTGTTTATACCTTGCCGTTTTGATTTATCCACTATGAGCATGGAAAAATAACTTTTCGAATTTTTCTTGTCAATTTTAGAGGAAAGAAGGGATTTGAGACCCTTAAAAGAACTGTTGAAACTTCAAACATTGATTTGAGGTGACATTGTGGAAAAACAGATAACAATATGCTTAAGCATGCACAGATATTGGGTGAGATTATGAGTTTCATTCTGCAATGGTGAGTGTGAATATAACAGATGGATGGAGTACAGAGAGAGTGTAACAGATGTGATTCTGGTGAGGAAGATAATTTAACAGGTTACAGTTTGATTTTGTTGTTCTTTTGCAGTCATCTGTTACACTCTGATAGGTGAGAATGAGCCTTCAACAATTTGGATGAGAGATACATTCACTTTTTGTGATTAGTTTTTCAGGAAGGAGCTATGGGTCAAATTAAAAAGATGGGTCATGCGTAGGTTGGATTAATTAGGATAATATTTAAGCTGGTGCCATGTCATCATGTTTTCTTCCATGGTAAACATTTGGTTGCCACATGTCTAATCTGTTAACTCTTGACATAAAGTTTAATTGGAGGACGAAGTTGATGACTAAATGAAAATCTTAAGTCTTAAAATTTAAAATTTGAAAGATAAGGACCAAAATAAAACTGGCGTGAAAATCATGAAGTAAAATGAAAGTAAGCCCTTCGGCATCATATAGCTGTTAACGAGTTTATTCCTTCTTACATATATATGTATATACATATTTTTTTAGTGTGTTTTTAATGCAAAAAGATAAAGAAACTGAGGCAGTTTTGTCTGTAATGACTATGTCAATTCTTGCACTGGTATCTATGTGTAGTTTCTGTAGTTTTTGTCAATTTGGTCTGTAAACTAAAATCAAGAGACAAATCTGAGAAGCAGAAATTCACTTCAGATTACATTTCTGGTTGACTAATTCTTAGTGGATGATACAATTTGAGGTTTTGATTTTGCTTAATCTTTTTCCTTGTCGCCCTCCTTTCTCCTTATATTCTTTGGTTTTATGTTTAGCCAATCATCGTTAGCATTTGTAAACACATAATAATAAGCCCTACTATGAGTAACTCGGATTGTCTCCCATAGCTGATTGCCTTCAACTGATCTCAGTATCTATTTTGTGTTTCATGTGCCTGAATCTCAGGTTGGGTTGTTACTCCTTATAGACAACTTTTTTCCTTGTTTTATAAAATAAAGGTTGGTTATCCAAGCTGTTGCTTATTAATTACTGCAACAGTGAGGTTATTCAGTCCAAATCTGCAGCATGTTTCTGCATACTAAAACTTTTGCTTCTTTATCAGAGCATGAAGAAGACAGAGCATTTACAAACTTATCTTAGGCCTGGAAATTCAAAGGAATTTTCAGCTCCACCAGGCTTTCCATCTCATACATCATTTCTGTTGAAGAAAGTAGACTCTCATGAAGGAACATGTGGTTCCATGCCTTCTCTGAGTACGTCCAAACAAAATCCAATCCAGATGAACATCACAGCCAATACGGTTGACATAGCAACGTTAAAGAGCACTCTTGGGGATAGACCGTGGATACTGTATGATCATAGCAGTCACAAGTGGGAGGAATCAGGATCTGGTCAACCTGAAAAGGTCATACCTACCCTCCTCCCTCCCCTCTTCTTTTCCTAGACAGGATAGCACTACACTGGTTTGTGAATTTGGTGCAGAATATTATTCTCCTTTAGAGTAAAAGGCAAAAGTTTATAATGGTTAAGATTTTATCTGTATCTGTGTGTCTATAAGCTTGTTTAATATTATAATCAAAACCGTCTGTTCATCCAAATGATCTTAAAATGTATATTATATTTACATGCTCAAAGAGAGCACTAGAATTAAAATCCATTTGACATCAGATTCATTTTTAGACGGTTAAAAAGAAAGTCACTGAGAGATAGCCGAGAACTTGATACAACCTGAATTCATTTTCCTGGCAGGTTAGCACTTTACTGGTTTACCAATTCGGTGCAAATGAATATTATTTTCGGTTCGGGTAAAATGGAAAGTTTACAATGATGAAGGTCTTGCATGTTGGTGTGTCTGTATCAGCTTGTTTGTTCTAATACTATCTCAAAACCTGTCTGTACATAGACAATGATCTTAAAAATGTATAGTATATTTACATACTCAATGAGAACGCTGGAATTAAGTGATCCACAAGATTGAATTTGCTTTTAGAAAGTTAATAGAAAATCACTGAGCGGTAGCTGAGAAGAACTTGACACAACCTGAGTTAAAAGGGAGAGTTGTGTACATGAGCCGATTGCCAAGTAAACTAGGTAGAAACATATCATAAAGATGTGATAGAAATTTTTGCAACTCTTCTTGTAGATGGGGTTGAGCTTGAGTATTGTATTGTGGTAATGATGAAAGCAGTTTATTTTATTTTTAGTGAACTATGACAATTTTAGTAATTATTCTTTTAAACATAAGCTCCAAGGAATTTTTCATGTTCATTTAGAGATTATATTTATTGGGAGGGTAGAAATTGAGTAGAATTTTCAATATGCATGCTTAGTCTTAATTCCATTTTCATGAACAACTGCAGTACTTGCAGTATATGTATATATTTCTAAAAGAGCTATAGCTGTCGTAATAAATTCTGCCATTGCAAACACAGACACAATCTCACACCTGATCTTTCTTCAATTTATTGAAGATTGCTTCACGTTATGAGTGTTTTGCTAGCAATACCACAGAATCCTAAAATAGTCTTAAAAGATAATTTTCAGATTAATTTGTTAAAATTTTATGTCTACATGATTGATTACCTATATACTAGCATTCTCTTTTGGGGTGAGATAAGCACTAACTGATTCAGTGGTAACGGAATTGTGACCATGATGTTATGGTCTGTAATTTGTGATTGAATTATGGATCTTCCCTTATAACCTATCTTCAACTACCTAGTAAGGTTCATGAGAACAAACCCTTGAATCTCAAGTTTAGAGAGAAACTCTGACAGATAAAAACATACCCCATTCTTTCATTTCCAGCAAAGTAACATAAGCATGTGAGGTTTCAGCAAATACAATAGAAACTGCCCACTAATAGTAGGTAGACACCCATAATAGAATCTAAAACATGTAGTTAGAGAATAGGTTTCTAGAGTGACTTAACAATTAAATCCAATCGAACTGTTGAAAACAAAAAACTGAGAAATTAGATGGTCCTCAGTACATCTACTTTCTTGTGGCCATGTTTAAAACATTGCTGAATGGGATCACTCTGTTTTGGTTTTTGATCCTGACCTATACCTTAGTTGTATCCATAGAACTGATCCTTCCCTCCGAAACACATTTAGCAGAAAAGTCAGAGATAGCCACTATAGAAGAGAGAATCTCCTGATAAGATTCAGTGTGAGACAAACTCTTCTAGTGGATAAGAACTTTGACCTAGCGATAAAGTGAACCCAACACAACTTGGGAGAGAGAAAAAATCTCACGAGTTAAAGAAGGCCCTAACCATACATGCCCTCCAATTATATCTTCCAAATCGTCCACACTAACAATCCATCCTTCTCCCCCAAAGGGCGATTTTAGTAAATAACCAAATATAACACTTGGGCTAAGAGTCAAGTTGGTAATTTTTCTTACATCTCCCCCTCCCGGAGCCCAGGTATCATATGCGCCTCCAAAATAAAGAGCCTTGAATACTAGAAGAAAAGCACCTATACCTAACAAAATTAAGTGAATACCCAAAATTGTGGTCATTTTATTTCTATCTTTCCATACATAACCGAAAAATGGAAAAGATTCTTCAAGAGTCTCAGGTCCCAGAAGTGCATGATAAATACCGCCAAAGCCCAAAACTGCGGAGGAAATTAAGTGAAGTACTCCAGATACAAAGTATGGAAAGGTGTCTATAACTTCTCCCCCAGGACCTACCCCCCAGCCTAGAGTCGCTAGGTGGGGAAGTAAAATTAATCCTTGTTCGTACATGGGCTTTTCTGGTACAAAATGAGCCACTTCAAATAGGTTCATTGCTCCGGCCCAGAATACGATTAATCCGGCATGGGCTACATGAGCTCCCAATAGTTTACCGGATAAATTTATAAGTCGGGCATTCCCGGCCCACCAAGCGAAACCAGTGGTTTCATGGTCACGACCAGCTAAAGCTAAAGTTCCATTAAAGAGCGTTTCCACGTGGTAGAACCTCCTCAGGGAATATGCAAAGTGTGGCAATCTCAACAACACACAGGTTTATGAGTTAAGAAAAGATGGATGATGTTTTGAGTTGGGTGGACGATCCAGCCTTTAAGTGACATCTCCAATTTGATCCACAATTAGGAAAGAACTATAGAAACAAGGAGAGAGCTCAAAATGGTGTGAGCACCCAAGGATACCTACAGTTGAAGTTGCAGCTTCCAGAAACCCTCCGGCAACAAAGCGGACATCCTTCTGATGAGAATCATTCTGGGACTTTAGTTAATTGTGCCCACAACGAACTAGGATGTTGCTCATGCTCTAAAGCTTTAGCCTAACTCAATTGAAGGGTTGGGAATATATGAAAGAAATATGTCATCTCAGAATGAAAAGATTTAAGAGGAGTAAAACTTGATGTCATAATAATGGGGCAAGCCAACCAATCCATTCAAGATCAGGCTTTTTGCTAGTGAAACAACGCAAATGCGTCTCCACAGTATGATTCATCACTTTTGTTTGATCATTAGGTTGTTGATGGTATGCTGAGCTAAAAGTTAGTTTGGAACATTCAATCCAAACAATTATTTTTTTTCTGCAGATAAAAAAACATTGTATCAAAAGGCAACATGAGGTGCAATCTGTTTACAAAATATGCAAGCTTAAAGATCTCTCGAATAAAGGCAATCAAAACGATCTTGAATAGGGTGACCCTGAAACAAAATACATAGTATATAAGCCATTGATCTTTAATAAAAACAAAAGGAGAAGAATCCTCAAAACTGTCATAGTTCTTTATTTTCAAATGATCCATCACAAGAAAATAGATACAGAGTGGGGCTTAGGATGCATTAATGAAGTATCACTCCAAGTCTATAATTCATCATTGGTAGAGCCACAAATCACCTTACTTAGATTGAGTAGGCTAAGAGTTGAGTCCCAACGCCTTCTAGCTTCAAAGAACCAAAGGAAAAACATGGTCTGGGAATTCATCTTTTTTAAAATAAAAAGTATGTATATGTATTAATATTTGCACCAAGGGAGCGCCACCCATTTATAAAAATATTTACAAATCAATTAGATTATCTAGAAGGTTTCCTAACTCTAAAGATGAATTAATAGAGTGACCTACTAATAAAAAACCAAGAGTCTAAAATCATCTATTCTTGAGTAAATCATAACCATCAACATCATCAACCCCCTTAAAAGTCCTTTTATTTCTCTCCTTCCATACAATCCAGAAAATAGTAAGTGGGATAACTTCCGCTTGTTTCCTCTTTTACACTCCAAACCCTTCCGAACCCAAATTTCATCTCTCACCGAGTCAGCAGGCACCCAACTAATACCAAGGGTGCTGTAAACCGTCGTCCAAGGTTTATAAACCACTGGACACCATAGAAGCAGATGATTACAATTTTCTTCCATCCGTACATAAGTAGCAGGTATTCACCAAAGTTTTGCCTCTTCTTTGGAGTTTGTCAACAGTAAGAATACAATCCGTACTAGCTTCCCATGCAAAGAACAAAATGCGAGGTGGGACCTTTGTCTTCCATATCTGCCTATATGGAATATTGTAACTAGAACTATCATGGTTGAAAGCTGCCTGTAGAAGATTAACAGCGAAGACACCCTTCTTTGTCTGGCTCCACACAGG